TCCAAGTCCAGTCCAGGCGCCTCAGAATCCTCTCGGTAAGGAACTGGTCTCCTTGGGGGTTCTGCCACCATGAGCGGATGACCTTGGGCAAGCCGGTGTGCCTTTCCAGCCTCACTGCTCATCCCTAAAACGTGGCTTACGGTAAGACCGATGTCAAAGACGGGGTGTGAATATTCAAGGAGATGTAAATGCAAAACGACTAAAACACTGCCAGGCACACAGGAAGAGCTCCATACATACCAGCTACCAATTCTGATCCCCCTACTAAAATACAAGTATCAAAGGAAGTGCTAACACCTGTCTGTCAACTTCTTTAAGTCTGCCTTCCAAGTTGACAGCCTTCTGAAAAAGTAGGAACCTCCAGCAAGACACAGGGAGTATGTTCAGGTGTGAAGGGCACTAAAGGGAAGAGACGGGGACAACAAAAGCCAGCTTTTCTTCACTCAGAATCACCCCTGATGCTAATTCCCTTTGGGATGTACGTGTCTGAGTCGACCAGATAAACCACTTTGACTAACCACTGCCAATTCAATAGATCAGCGCTGTTTTCCCCACACGCTGGACAGAAAAGAGCAACAGAAGAATGTCACGTCACCAGAGCCCGCACCTCACTGCGTGAGCTCTACTAACTTCCAAACACTTCAATAACCACTTAAGTTTATTCCGAAAACACCTTTTAAAGTTTTTACAAGTAAGTCTAATTAGACAATTTTTCAAATCAAACAATTTTTTAAAATTTCATACCGGTGGAAAGAAACTCAAGTCATATAAAATAAGGATTCCCAATTTAAACATCTGCTTATGGCTGAATATCTAGAATTCGAACCTACCGCCTCCTTCCCCCACCCTGGCCCCAAGGCTGCTCACTTAGTTCTATACACTGTTCTGATTTCAGAAGACGCGTGGCCATTTTCCAGCCTGACACACTATTTGTCAAGTCCCTCGACCCGTGCCCCAAGAGAAGCCCCACTCCTGGCTTTGAGATGGACTCTGTCGCCCTCTCTAGTCTACGAGCACACACACAGGGGTGTGGCCTGCGGGTTATGGACACGGACCCTGCGTGGCCCCCACACAGCTTCGCTGAGGTCTAGCACAGGCCGGTGGGAGACACCATCGTCGGAAGGTGCTTTCCGGTTTCCCAGAGATATTTCCAGCAAAGGAAGCTGAATACGCCTCACCTACCTTTTTAACTCTTCCCCCACCTCGCTCTCAGCTGGCACTAACCACGCCAACCCATACTTGTCCAAATCTATTGGCAATTCTTGAACTAGTCTGAAGACAGCAAAGTTAAACCACTCCGAACCGAGGGGGATAACCCTAACCAGGAAAGGAACTGGGGGGGGCATGATTTTAACCTTTTGGCTCTACATAAATGTGGGGCAGGATTGGCCTGAACAAGGGGGAGGGAGAGTCTGGCCACCACGTAGGCCCCCATTAAACCCTGAGCAACTCAGGCAAGTAGTGGGTTTTCGTGCCAGCGGGGAACGGAACTGTTTTCAGCTGCCTGGCGCAGGGTCCGTGGATCTGTCAGACGTTAGCGTCTGTGAGACAGTTAAAGTGTTAAGAGAGGAGCTCTGGTTACTCACTCGACTTGTGCACCTGAGTCCAGACTTGCTGTGATTCTCAGGCCTGAGATAAAGCCGCCTGAAGAGAAGAGCAACAGGAAGAGGAAGCCCCACATCCACCAACAGCAGAAAAGCAACTGCACAGCCCAGAAAGGCCTACACACAGCTTTCACAACACCATTAACCCAACTGGAGGTGACACCAAATCCACGGATTTACAGCCGGGGGACTAGGGAACATCTTCAAAACATTAAATGTCTATGACTCAAAATAACTTAAATTCAGGGTGTTAGGAGGCCAGTGAACAAACAAGGAATGTACTTACATCGCTTGAAGAGACTGTTCCTGTTTCAACAGCGACACCGCTACCACGCAGTTTCTATTACGAAATAAATAACTTATTACTTAGTTTTGTTTTTAATTTTATCCTACTTCATCAGCTTACGAAAGAGAGCTAAGCAAATTTTGTCACTGTTTTCCTAATCCTACTGAATGGAGTATCATCAACTAATAAAAAACGTGGGGATGTTACGAAATATTCTAAATGTTGTTACACTCTTCCAGATAGTATCTTAATCAATAAATTATTTTAAAAGGAACAATAATAAACTGAATACTAAGTTCCAATTACATTTCATAAGTGAAGCGACTGCAAATTTCCAAGTCTCAGGATTTACTTCCTGAGTCATTTTTCCAATGAGACAACTGTCTTAAGCTGAACTATCTACACTATATTCCGTGGCAAAGCTTTCAAAACAGGTGCCTGATGATGGGAAGATACTACATGGAACTTAAAAAATTAGGTTATCCACGGCAATGTTAACACATTATAATGACAATCACAACCTCACCTGTTACACAGAAATGACCAAAGAAAATTTAAGGTAGAAAGTCAGAAGCTGAATATGCAAGAGAAAAGTGATAATGAATTTCTGAAAGGAAATTTTTATTTTGTTTTATTCAATAACTTATCTACTAAGTGCCAGGCATGAGCCCCTATAACCCAAGTATAACGGTTAAACTATTGGGAAAAAGGCTCCTAAATGTCTCTATAAAGTCAAAGAACAAAATATCCAAATGGGCACCTAATTAAGACTTTTGAAAGTCTACTTCTATTAGAATCATGAAAATGTGGTCCTTTTTATGAGGGAGAAGATGCTTACGATAGAGAAAAAGAGACCTTGCGGATACAGTGCTATCACGTGGCATTTAAGCCAAGTAGAAAATAAAAGCACGAACAAGCCTCTGCTTCATGCCTGTCATACACCCTGATCAAAGGCTGTGGACAAGTGTCTGCCCACAGCAAGGGTGGTAGCCAGCCAGAGCCCAGCGGAAGCAGTGACCAGACTCTTGAGGCACGGCTGGACGGGCCTGAAGCCTCTCCCTGGGGCAGGACGTGAAAAGCAGCAAGGCCAGACAGTAACTGAACAAGGCCAAAGACTCGGCGATAAAAAGAGCAAGCGTGCTGGAAAGATACAGAAAGGTCTTTAAGAGCGTTTGTCTCACACCAAGTCTAATGAAAAGTGTTCCAGACACTGAAATCTCTGCTTCCACTAGTGACCGGAGAAATATCCCCCCAATTGCTGGACATGGTTACAACCACAGCTAATCATTCTAAAACTAACCAATTATCTGTGAGGCAGAGCATAAATGTTACTCCTACGGGGAAAAGTCTAAGATGAAACAACCCAAAATGTTAGCGGCACACTGCAGCGTGCATTCTTTGCTACCAGATCTCATTTTATGAGTCCAGCTAGCATAGAGCCTTATTACCACCAGACCATGCCTAACACTAAAGCAGAATGAAGTTTCTTCAAAGGGAGAACTAATCTCATAAGAGGAAAAAAAGAAAGTGGGGGGGGCGGGTAACCTCTTTAACTAAGCGCTCTGATCCCAAAGGATACACATGTAGAAATAAATACATCTCATCTTCACATACGTATTTTTCACGTTCTAAGTAACTTCTTTTTGAAATATCTCACAAACTCAGTAAAATCTGCAAAACTTGTGGCTCTTGTAAAAATACTTTTAAAAACTAAGCCCAAAAGAGTGTTAAAGTGCATGCTGTTGACAGAAAAAAATAACTGATTTTGTTCAAGACACTTCAAAATCTCCCTATCCAAACAAAAAAGGTTAGTAGGCTCCCCCCGCAAAAAGGCAGGCAATGATAAGATAAAAAATAAATCGAAGCAAAATGTCATGGTGTCTCTCTCATACTTCATATTAAAATCTACTAAAATCATAAAGTCACCAGCAACCTAAATTACAACTTTCCAAACCTTCATTTCAAATAGGCCCTTACTTGTCATCTAGCCCTGAGGACACCAGGCCTCCCAGCATGGCTTCTCCTGGCCCATCCTCCATGTCCCGCCCACACCAAAGCTCGCCCCCTCCTGCCTTTCCTTCCGGATACAGATACGCCGCCCTCCCCACCCAGGTCAGCTCGCTCCTCTCCGCGGCTCGCTCCCTCCAAGCCCCCTCACCACCTCTCACTTGGTCACCGGACGCCTAAAGGAAAAGAAACCCTCCACTGAGCTGTCAGGAGTGTCCGGCCATCCGCCCTGCGCTGGGGAACCGAGAAGACAAAAGGGAAAACTAGTCATCTGCCAGCCGTCACCCTGAAAGCTGTCCTCCTCCACGAAGAAGTGGGCTCGAGGGCCCTGACAGCAGCGAGACCGCAGCAAGCAGGCTTCGTGTTTCCCTTTGGGCTTAAATGCAACCCCACGAGGACACGGTGAAATCCTGAGTGGGAGTCACTGAGGGAGACATCCTCTCAGGCTGGAGAGGGCAGCCCCAGGCCACCCAGTGGTGCCTGGGACGGCCTCCTGGCCAGGACTAGAGGCGGGCTGCCAATGAGCTGTCCCGTGCTGTCTGCAGTCTGAAGCCCTCCTGGCGGCAGCCAGGGCCAGTTTATTTATTGGTGTGACTGGTCAGACGGTTTGGCCTGGGTATGTGACCAGAGGGCATAAAGGACCCACTGCACACTTTCAAAGAACTCTCCCCAAACCAAGACTCCTGGCACCAATCTGGGTGGTCCAGGGTCCCAGGGCAGAGATGCTTGCCCATCGCACTGTCTCTCCTCCTCTCTCATGAGCCTCACACGAGTGTACCCTTGGAGTTGTGTGCGTCCTTCCAATCCTCCAACCCGTGTGATCTCGGCAGCCACCTTCCTGGAAGGGAAATCCTCCCTACCTGCTGAAATGCATGAAGGGAAAATCCCGAGTGGCAGAAGAGACAGGAAGCTCTGAGCTGAAGCCAGTCACAGGCAGAGAAGGTGAAGCCCCTACCAGACCTGCAAGCAGCATAGCTGACTCATCACACTCAAAATGCCTCTTTTTAAGAGAGTTTTTGTAATTTCACATAACTACCATAAATAGCTTTAGAGAGCGTGGACATTCTGTCCTTTTCAAAGACACTACGAGGAATGCATTTTACCTGTGAGCTCAGCTGTGTCTTTATCCAGTTGAAATAGTAATTTAAGTCACTGCCTTCCATCAGTTCTTTTCCCCAAGCTGCTAACTTGGCGATAATTCTTGCTGCCTGAAAAACAAGAAATACATTTGAATATTATACTGATTCTAAAAATCACACCATAGACCCTAAGAAACAGGACTCATAACCATTTTGCTGCAGGATTTCTTTTAGCACTCAACTCCTCCAAAGATAATAGATATTTCATTTTTAAAAATATTTCTAATATGGTCAAATGTAGTTTTAAATAGTTCCATTAAGTGAACCAAAATCAGTTGTGTCTTAAGAATTTCACGATATTCCCTGCATTATTATTCTGAGTTTCAAAAGTAAGATTAGGATTCATTATAAGACCAGCAAAAATCAAAAGAACACAAAAATCCTTCTTTGTGACTTTCACCAAATCAGTTGCCAGAGTTCTGAGCAATCGCTCCAACAAACTGCCAGCCACTACCTTGGTCATTCAAGCCCTTGCGAGTTCTCAGTTACAAATCTGTATCTTGGTATAAAATATATCCTGGGTATTGAACAGCCATCTCTCTCAATAGAAACAAACACCCTTTTCTCCTCACTCAAAAACTTCTCAATTTGCTTCAGGCTATAAAATGAATCACGAAGGGAGGGTGGGAGGGAGATGCAAGAGGGAGGAGATATGGGGATATATGTATACGTATAGCTGATTCACTTTGTTACACAGCAGAAACTAACACACCATTGTAAAGCAATTATACTCCAATAAAGGTGTTAAAAAAATGAATCATGAATTTTTTTATTAAATAGGCAGTACAAGTGTATTTTATCATCATGTTGTACACTTTAAATATCTTATAATTTTGTCAATTACACCTCAATACATCTGGAACTATATAGTATAGATACACGGGGGGAGGGGAAAGCAGTATAAATTACTACCTCTCCACCCACAAACCCAATTTAATAAATATTCTTTCAGTAATTTCTATAAGCAAGTTCGTGTTTCAAAGCTCTCATCATTCAGCAAGAGTTAATCCTAGTAGAGACCGTGAAGGCTGATTAGCTAAGCCAAAAATACACTGAGGTCTGTTCCCAGACTTGCACACAGCGAGCGAGGTGACAGAGGGCAGCGTGTGTCGTGGCATATTCGGCAGCCTGCACCACGGGGGAGGGGGGGCAGAGCCCAGCACCCCGACACCCTCGCTTTGCAGTGACATGCGGTCGTCTTCACGTGCCTCGCTAAGTGAGTTCACAGACACGCTATCTAACTTAAACTGACCTGTCACAAAACAGATAAGTGACACGAAAGGATCCCTGTAAGGAAATTGAAAAGATGATCAGCAGTGTAGGCGCAAGCAAAGGGGCAAAGACAGAGGAACACGGGCCTGGCGTTTCCTCTCTGAGCACAAGCTCTTCATCAGCACAGGGTCAACCAATGAGCATCTGACCCTCAAAATGTGAAAGATTAGCCAAAAGTAACTGAAATCATAAAGAAATAGAAACACAGACTTGGCTACACCACGAATAACGATGAATCTTACCCTAAATGTGTATTTGGTCTTTAACACATTTGTCAATTTTATTATAAGACCATCAAAATTAGGAAAATGTTTAAATCATGTTTCCAGACAGTGAAAACAAGCCTCTACAAAATTTGAAAGAAGAAAATATATTACTTTTTTTTTTAAAGTGCTCTTTAAAATAGTTTATTTCATGGGTCCTCCTTTTAAATTTCTTTTTACGAATGTTTCATACCATATATGAACATACTAGTACATAAATGAATATAGATATATATGGAGAGAAAGAGAAAGCGTGTGCTCAAAACTGTTTCACTGACAGTGGATCTTGCTGCGAAAATGTAGACATCTATGAAATGCAGCCTCAGGAGCGCCCCCTGCAGCCCACAATACGCTAGGAACAGAAAAGGCCTGTACAAGGACTGATTCTCTGATCGTCCTCTCAAGACCTTCTGCTCAGTGTTAACACTTCCAAAGATAGCCTTTCAGGCTAAGTTTAAAACAGGAGTGTATCTAAGATATTAAAAAGCAATTAACTAACTACTTAATTAAAATAAAAATTAAACACAACAGCTGCTTCAAAGCAAAATTTAATTTCTATAGTAAAATGCAGTTAATTCTGTCACAGACCACCTAAAGCTGTTTGCACATGTGAATTTATCACAGGCTTTATTTTTAAATTTTTATTTATTTGTTTGTTGTTTGTTTGTTTATGGCTGCGTTGGGTCTTCATTGCTGTGTGTGGGCTTTCTCTAGTTGCGGTTAGCAGGGGCTACTCTTCGTTGAGGTGCGCGGGCTTCTCATTGCAGTGGCTTCTCTTGTTGCGGAGCACGGGCTCTAGGTGCGCGGGCTTCCGTAGTTGTGTCATGTGGGCTCAGTAGTTGTGGCTTGCGGGCTCTAGAGCATAGGCTCGGTAGTTGTGGCGCATGGGCTTAGCTGCGCCGCAGCGTGTGGGATCTTCCTGGACCAGTACTCAAACCCATGTCCCCTGCACTGGCAGGAGGTTCTTAACCACTACGCCACCAGGGAAGCCCTACCAAAGGCTTTTATCTCAATGAGCTCATCAAATGCTCTACAAACTTGAACTGTGTCAAAGCAACCCTGCCTCCTCTGACCTCCCAACACCCCGCATTACTAACATCCAGTAAGGAAGCGCTGCTTTGAAAAGTCAACGTCAGAGCAGTCACTCCTCTGGGTACTGGGACGTTACCAAGTCACAACGGGCCCAGGTGCATTTCTTCCCTGAATCAGAAATGTGACCAATTCAAAACTTACCATATGAACAGTAAAGAGATCCTGGCGATTCAACATGGGCAGAAAGTAGGACCAGGCAGTGTTCTTGCTACGTTTAGCATAGTCAAAGAAAATGCTAACGCGCTGGTGATTTTCCTAAAAGAGAGAGAGAAAAAAAAAAACGGAAAGAAATAAACATCACTGATCAGAATGCATTTTCCTAAAGAATGTAACGATTATGCACTGCTTCTCAGCCTTTCATTTTATGTCCCCTCAATCCATGTTTTCTCTTTCCAGTCGGTATGAGATCTGTCTCCCTGTTATTATTACAATGGGGCAGGGGGTGACGATGGGGGCAGGGGGAGACAGTTTTAAGTAAAATCGCCTTCAATTATTATGGTTAGTTTAAATCAGGTGAGCCACGATAACAGATCCCCTGCAGGTGTAGCACCCGAGTTGCATCTCTCCTCAGCCTGCCCCTCAGTGCTGTCTGGACACCTCCACCCTCCTTCCACACAAACAAAATCGGGAAGGGCAGGGAGATCCCAATTCAGCTCTCGATGGGAGGACCAGCAGGAAGCACTTCAAGCTACTCACAGACAGGCCAGGGAAACAGGGCATCAGAGAAACCTCGGACGTCTGGGTTACCCTTACACACTGTGACAGGAAAATCGGGGCACATAACGACAGCAAAAAACAGCATAGCATATACCAGCAGGTAGATCAGAGGAACAATTACTTCTTAGTTGAAACCATGCAAACTCTACCTGTCACCGAAATTTCCTCTGCATATCGCTGGCTGAAATCCACTATCTGGTTCACTAAGTGAACACGGTGGTTAAGTAGCAATATTTGGTAAACAGCACAAATAACCACATAAACAATCATTTTAACTCTCAGATCAACATTTAAATCTTTTTAAATACAGTGGTTTTAACTTTGGTCTGTGCTAGCAGTTACCTATTTGAGGAGTAGACTACTATCTCTTTAAGTAACAAATCATTATAGTCTAGACTAACAATTGAAATAGTTATGATAACGAGTTCATCAAAGAACTCGAAGTTCAGGTAGGTCTTCCTTAACTCCACTGGTGGACTATTTTCAAAACTAAAATTGTAATTCTCATTGTACATGTAAATTAACAAAGTCCCCTACACACGGAAAGAGCAGAAACTGTCACACGTTTAACTAAGGTTAAAACCCATCCAAGTCCTTCGTGGATTTGTTTTCTGCTTAAAAACGCACCTCCAGCCACTGCTGCTCCAAGCACACAAATCCATATCTTTAACAGAATAAGGATAAAGCCCTCTCAGAGGCACTGAGCAACTGATACTAATATGCGAGCACAGAAAACATTTTAATCTTCAAAATTATGTGCTAAAAACTAAACATGTGAGGAAAAACAAGCAATTCTTCCCCCAAAGTATTCCATTCAGATGTGTTAAGAATAAAAAGACTGGATTGGAAATGTGTAACAATATTCTTTAAATGGCACACAGACTCACATGGTAAAAGTGTGCACAAATTTCTCAATGTAACCAAAATTTTACCAATAAAATCAATTGTCAGAATATGTTTAATCAGTATAGCTAAGGATAATGGCAGCTACCTAGGTCTAAATCTCTCCACAGATCTTTCATTAACACAGGTCAACAAGAACAAATAAAACTATACACTTGAAGATGTCCTACTTTGGACACCACCTTGACTCTGGCAAAAATGTAAAAACCTGACAGTGCCTTCTGTTGGCAAAGCTGTAGGG